CCTGTTTTACGTGAAGTGGCGTAAAACTCGGTGAAAAACGCGATATTCACGTAAAACGGATGAAACTCCACTGTACTATTGTTATGGTGGAGTTTCACCCTAGTGATATGAAGAACACTAGTAAAATGGTATTTCACAAAATATTGCATACAGCCAAGATCACTCGTGTAGAGAACAGGAATATTACACGTAAAACAGTATACTCTCCATCGCGTACGTAAGAGCTGTTATTCGCCCGTATTCGCCTTTCACCTTTCGGTGAACTAACTGCGAGTAGCTTGCATAATTTTCTACGTGTAATATTCCTGTTCCCTACACGAGTGAACTCGGATGATTTTTTCTCCGACTTGGTCGTTTTTTTAATGGGGAACAACACATCGTTCGATCCAGCAGATGTGTGGGAGGTCCCTGAGGACACTGCAGGGAATAGAGAGTAATATCTACACTCAGAATAGTAAGTAATATTGCAGCAGGTGGTCGTTGGAGTCTGACGATCAAAGTACCGCAAACGGAGGTAATACAAATGCTTATTCGCTCATAAAAAATTTTTCCCCGGAAAATTTCTCATTATTTTTATTTGCAACATGGGGAAAGTTATCTCGATTCGTTATATACTGAGTTTCTCGGTGTCAACGGTTTGCCTAAAGTCGTCGTCGATGGGAAAACTTGTGATGCGCGATGGGTTTCGAAAATCGTTCGTGTGAACTGTTCCGAGATCTGATTATTATTCTAGTTTCTCGTAATGATTCATAACTGATAACAGTTATGATTTTAGTGATGACGATGAGAATTATCATTCACACATACTTGTTTTTTGAGGCTGTTATAAAAGGAGATTTCACGAGATCGATTTTGTATAAGTATTTTTATTATCATCAGTTGACCGAGCTGTGGCAGAAAAAGGAAATCAATTACGCGCGGTGAAGACCTTTGCGATTCCTGGAGAGTTTTCAGGAGCGTCGGAAGGGTAGTAGTGATGGATTAACCGAATGGTTATTTTGAATTTCCGAGAGGTCACTGAGACGTAAATTTGATGTGATGGAAAAAGGCTGACAAGGTTACATTTGGCCAAAAATGTATATATTATAAACTACTATAATAATACTATAACCACTATAGAAACCCGCATATACAATACATATAATAGTAGTTAATAATGTATGTACATTTTTGCTCAAATAGGCCTACAAAACCTACAAACCTACAAAACCCTGAACCCTACAAAGTCAATTGTGCGATCCTCCTCTGAAGAATCGAAATCAGCCTTTGATGTGTCTATTTGAGCAAAAATGTATATATTATAAACTACTCTCGCACATATACGTAGTATCGCAAAATTTAAATCTATAAGATATCCTTACACCAACAGGTTTTCGTGTAAAGTGTGGTAAATTTGTGCATGCGGAACGGGGCTGAGTTTTTCTGCTCGTTTCAGGTTGATGATTTCGACAGATCACACAGAGGTTTTCGTGTCCCTCGCAAATGATGATGAGAAGAGGGCAGTTATAGAACCCCCGTGAGTTGAGGAAATTACGGTTGGATAGGGATCGAGATGCATGGGTGTTTTGAGGGCGAAAATCATCGGAGTTTTTTTCTCTCTGTGTGAAAACCGAATTTACGTCTAAAATGGTTACACTGTCCGATAGTGATGATGATAGTATATATTGTGATAAGAAGAAATTGAGTGGCGGTTTAGCCGTTTAACGTGAAGTGGCGTAGTGCTCGATGTTAACTATAGGCGTATATTTTTTTCCATCGAGTGAAATAAAAAATGTGTTTTT